CGTCAGCCTTTGTGTCTTTAAAGTCGGACTCCAAGGCGCTTATTAAATCCATAGGCGTTACTGGCGGAAGTTCTTTTACCGTGATTCTGTGACACATGCTGAGTTGTCTTTCATTTTGGCCAGGTGCAGAGCAGCCCACAATGCTCCATCCCAAGTCTGTGAGGACGGCGTAGGGGTCATTGTCTGCTCCCTCAATCAGTTGTCTGGGTTTTATGGCTCTCGGACAGTTGTACCCAATGAGGAGTCCCACGTCACAGTTCAGGAGAGGTGGTATATGATCTGTGATTGCTGCAAGGTGAGGCCATTGTTTTGCTGTTTGATAGGTAGGTATGTTATCACGGTTCATGGGGATGCAGTCTTTTGTGTAAGTAGGAGGTAGATCAATGTAACTGCCTGAATTATAGCCTCTAACACGAAGTCCTTCTACTCTTTCACTTTTCATTGTCATGCTCTCTCCCAACATAGTAGTAAGTTTCAGTTGTACAGGTACAGCATTTGGTCTTAATTTATCGCTTACTTCTCTCTCGATGAAGGTGCTGTCACTCTGGGTGTCCAACAGAGCATAGACGAGCTGTTCTCTGGATGGTTGAGTGACAGATGAGACCCACACAGGGACAATCATGGAGGTGCTGTAAGACTGACCCTCTTTGGTAACACAAAGCGGGCTAGCTGTCACAATTTCTTTTGAACAGTTTAATGCTGTGCTTGCATTTGTTATGCATTTCCTTGTTTCCATGCTTACAGGTCTGTCTTTCTCCTCATGCCCTTTGTAGTTCTCGTCATGTAGACAGGTAGGATGCCTTCCTTTACACAGCTCACAACTGTGATGGTGACGACATTCTTTGACGCTGTGACCTGGTTTGACACATCCGTAGCACAGCTTACTGTCCCTTATGAATGTTCGTCGTTCTTCTATGGATTTTTCTTTGAATTTTGAACACCTGAACAGTTGATGCTGGTCATCTTTACACCACATGCAGGGAGGTTTTTCTTTCCCATAGTTTGACCTTGTGTTTTCAATGTTTGTATTTGCTTGAGTGCTGGAGACATGTACTTTGCTTCCTCTTGTTTCATTTGTGCTTCTTTTGCTGTAGGAGGAGCTAGATGAGTGTACAGCATGCAGGGAGGTGATTGGATTACATGCTATCTCCGCTTCTACTGACACAAATCTGGAGAACTCTTCAAAGCTAGGGAAGTATTTTCCTTCCATAAGAGCTATTGAGACTTGACGATTCCAGCGCGCTGCTAACCAATCTGGGACTTTCTGAATCAACTTTTGATTTTCTTCACAGTCATTCAAAATTTCTAAGCCCTTCACATGAGGCATGGCTTGGAGACAGGCATTGAGGAAATCAGAAAAGGCTCTCAATCCTTCAGCGTCTTTGGTTTGTACTTTTGGCCATTTTGACAGCTTGTCCCTGAAGGCTCTTTGAATGACAAATGGCTGCCCATAGCGTTGGTGGAGCTTACTCCATGCATCTCTGTATGCTTCGTCATCATCTCGATAAAAGGTGCCTTCAATACATTTGTGAGCAGGGCCGCTGATATATTTTTTCAAATAATAAAGTTTGTCAGCTGCTGAGATGCTCTTCCTGTCTATTAGTGACATAAATGAAGCTCTCCATTCAATTTAGTGGATGGGGTCTCCTCCAAATACTGTAGGCATTGGCATGGGGAGTCTGTTAATTGTTATGCTGTCTTGTATCGCTTGGGCTAAAGAAGAAATGTCAGTGTGGGAATTTGGTGGGACTATGGAAGGATTTTGGGGATGCATGGAAAGGATGGTAGGGTTCTGCCTGTAGTTTGTGCCTTCTCTTCGCTGTGTATGCGTACTATGAAGTTGCTGTAGGGGGTGACTGTCAGTTTCCTGTCTTATCTCTCTGTCATAGCTTTCCAGTCTGACACGTGCTACTTCTCTGTCCCTCTCTGCTTGCAAACGCTCTAATTCTGATTCCATCATCCTTATTTTTTCCTTCTGTTTTATTTCTTCCTCCAATAATTTGCATTGAGCTTCTTTTGCAGCGAGCTCTGCAACTGCTTCGGCCCTTTTGGCAGCCAGGATCGATGTTTCAGAAAGATAACTATTAGCGGACTGAGAAGCAGTCCCGTATATGGAATGAGCGTAGTTATGAGCATGGAGTTGCCTAAGTTTGTGCTTTTCACGCTCTGCATCAAAGACATCATCTATTCCGGATAAGCGTTCATTAATTATTTTCATAATGTCTTTAGTGACTGCTTCACAAGCATCTATTTTTCGTCTTAAGTCAGCAGTTGGGGTGGCGCCTCGTCTTATTTCGTAATACATTTTCATGATGTCATCCTTTCCATTTTCAACAGTGTCTGCCATTTTAGCCAGTTCCATATCTGATGTGTTTTGTTTTAGATTTTCTTTGATTGCTCTAATTTGGATTTTCCACTGTTCATAGAGATGAAGAAGTCTCCTTTCCCTTTTACTTTGTTCCTCTCTTTGATAGGCAAGAAACTTCTCTGTGGGTACACTTTTGCGTTCTGAGTGACGTGGTACTTTTATTTCCTCAGTTTCAGCTATTTTGTTTTGAAGCTCAACGACTTCACTTCTGGTGTCAGTTAGCTCCTTTAATTCTGTGTGCTCTGACAAGCCTTCTTCTTCCCTTTGATTTAGCAGTTCTCTATTTTGTTCTATTTCTCCTTGTAGCTCATTTATCTGTTCCTTTAAGCTATCCATTTTTACTGCATCTGTGGTCTGTGCCGTACCTTGAGCCATCGATGACCATATGATGCTGTGGCGTAGCTCTGTGCTGTGCTGTTTGACCGTGGAGTTCACAGACGGAGCAGTGATGCATGTGGTGAAGTTTAAACTGGTTGCTTGCTGGATGAAGTTCTCACTGTAGCATACCCTCCAAAAGATTGTAGACTCGACTGATGCTTTTCAGTATTTATTTCCAGGCTCCATTAAAGTAACTTGTTGAAACCAACGTGAGAACTGACAGACAGAAAATGCATTTAATTACAATGATGTTCTTCATCTCTGTATGCAACGCAGCACAGCTTTATCAAACATGTAAGAAACATTTAGCATAGCATTAGCTTTCTAAACAAATCTCTGAGGTGAGTACAGCCGAATTTCTGCACATTACTACTAACCTTGTGCCTCCTCGGGGGGTTACTCTTTATCTTGCAGATGTCTATTATTCATACTGTTACTTATCTCCCTTTTGTTTTCCTTAAACTGCTTACATTTACCAGTAGCTTGTTCCGTTTTTCCCTCAGTTTTTCCACAGTGTAATACTGACAGGAAGTAGTTAGCGGTTTTTCAAAATAAAGCTCATTATAACCAAAAACTCAAAACCGAGCAATTTGCATATCAGAACATTTCTTATGGTAAAAACAAATCATGAACTGCATTTTATACACTTAAATCATGAAAATAAATGCATTGAAAAATAGCTCAACTATATGTTAAAGGAATATTTTAATATTTTTAATAACCAAACAGGTGGTTTGCTACAATTAGCATTGGAAACATCAGTGCAGACTCAAACATGAATTGCACTGAGATGGATTTTAAGTTAGAATCCTTCCAGTGGACCAATGCTTGTGATGCTAATTGTACGTCAGATTTACTTGTGTGCAAAAAAACGCGAATAGAAAGATTTACATGTATGACCTTTGTATTTTAAAAAAAAAATTATATGGGGTCAATTTTTATGCGTTAAAATCAATATAATTAATTAATTCAAATTAGTCTCAGTGCTAGATTATACAAAACAGAAGTGTTTATGTTTTGTAAAGTAATGTTTATTTTTAATACTTCAGTAAAGCTTTCAGCTTAAAGCAGTGTTTTAGTTTTATATTCTCCATATATTGGTTCTAATGACAAAGATATCAGAATTACTTGTATCCTTTCAGCTGCCCCCATATTCATGGTTCCCCACTGCAAGATATGACAAATTAATTAACCAGGATTCAGAGCCCAGTCAGTCCCCACACAATCACCAAATACTTCAACCACTTCACTATGAAGACCACAAAGATATCAGAATGGGAAAGACTCTCATTTCACTGTCTAAATATCTGTGCGCTAATGAAAATAATAACTTCAGACTTGTTAAGGAAAAATCTCAGAAGTATGCCAAGTTCTGCAGAGGTGGGCTGATCTGGTCCTCAGGGACCAGTGTACTGCATGTGTTAGACCTGCCTCTGCTTGAACACACTTTATCCAAATACTTTAATTATCTCCCCAGATGGTCACCTAGTTCCTGCAGCTTGTTAATGATCGATTAATTTGAAGTAGGTGTTTTTAGGCAAGAAAACATTAGAAATACTCGGGGGTCTGTGCCCTATGGACTGGATTATCCAAACCTGGTCTACAGCCTAAACAGAGAAGCCCTGCAAATAAGCCATAAATTCCGGGTTTTCACAAATACCATAAAGGCATGCCAAATAATTTGTAATTTAATGAGTCACTTTGTTAAAGGTTCTGGAAATGGAATTTAGAACTGTAACCTGAGTCAACGTAATGGAAGATAACAACAGACATACCTTGAGTGGGGCCAACGCACCCCTCCTTCCTCTGGAGAAGAAAGGAACATCCTGATTTTATTTTTCCTCTCTTCAGTATATGACTGCCATCAGGCACCAGGAGAATGTTATTTCACTTGCTATAAGGGTCTACACTGATTTCTATTAGACTTTTTTATTGCAGGTAGAAAAGTTATATTTGTCTATTAAATATTAAATGCTTAAATATGGCCTGATAACCTTGGTAACATTAAAATTCATACATAACTAAAATACATTTAATTATGTCATGGTCAGCATGTAGATTAATTTGTATGAAATTTTTCTGTGTGTAAAAATTATGTCATGATCAGAGTATTTTGACATGTAAATACCAGCCGATATCACATGAGTTATTAGGGCTCGTAGTTAATCTCACTATTGTTAACCTTAAAAATAATTTTCATCATATAACACACTAGCTTATATTAATAATACTCTATCTTTTATTCTCCCTGCAGGTGGACATTCCTTTTCTGTGGTGATCAAAGCAGGTGTCCAACTAACCTGGATGCACACAGGTACAGTACATTTTACTCTATCTTTCGCAGTCTTTTTGAATGTTTGCTATGGTTAAAGGACCCGCTCTTTACTGGAATTTTTACAGGTTCTTTAGCTGTTTTGTACAAATGTCAAACTTTTCCGTAATCTTAGCTGAAAGTGTTTATTTAATAAGACCACTAACTCTGAGAGCTTCCCCTAATCATAGTGCGGTCAAAGAGGACAAAAGTTATCTAAGAAGCATCATGAAAAATTTGACATGTTTTGCAAAAACAAATAACTCTCCTTGAGATCTTATTTCTTGGCACAGTACAATGGCCCTAGTTGACATAAGCAGTTAAATAACACATGTACAAAAAAATCTATTGGCCAATGCTGAAAACTTTGCTAAGTCCAAGTCAGCAATTTGGTCTGTTCTAAGAAGAGTTTTGCAACTAAAAATGTTTTGCAACCTACACTCGAGAATCAGTCAGTGTAAGTTAGCTTGAAAATGTTAAGCCACCTCTGATGAAATGTATGTTTTATCAATAAACAGGAGGACATTTAAAGAATTACCCACTGCAGGACCACAGCTTACTACTAAACTAAAATAATTCAAGCAACAGTCTCCCTTGTAAAAATTTTGCTCTACTTTTGGCAGAACTTGTGAAAAAGTTATGAAATCGACAACAAAATATAGAAAAGGGTATAAAAGAAGAATTAAAAAATTATTTTTACAATAACTGACTTGAATTTTCACTAGTCTTAGAATTTCATGTTAGATCAGATTTGATAAAATGTAGTTCTCAATAATTGTAAGCAGTGGAAAGCCCTTTGCCAACATGTATTTAGCATGCTGGCTTTTAAGTTCTGTAGATCAGTCAAGTCCGCAAAGAGAAGAGGGAGAGAAAATCTTGTGCTAAAGGGAGGGGGTAATAATTGGCTGCTTAAATATTTGCCAACTCTATAAACCATTTAAACCTACATTATTAATCAGATATGATTCCCAACCCATAAACTCTGTTTGACCTAAGCTTGACCTAGGCTGTGGATGTTTTTAAGTAGATCTCTAGCTCACAACAGAATAAGAAACCTCTTGGTTAAATTCTGACATAGACTGAAAATGTTAAATGGCCAATGCACATAAAGTGGTCTATGAAATCTTAGGCCCCAAAATATTTTACACTACACTGACCTGTTCATGCACACATTCAAAAATTATTGTAACCACAGCTGCATTTAGATAGACTGACAGAAGCAAGGCGGCTATACAATTGGTGCCACTGGGTCCTCTGACCACCACCGTCAGGCAGGGTTGTTGAATTGTCTTGCCAGAGGACACAACAACATAGATGGATGGAATGAGGGCTCCGTATGTTGATGGAGCTACTTACAGGAAGCTTCCTGCTTCGTCCTACCTCACTGACAGCATTATTTGCACTGTACTTAGGAGGTTGGACTAGTGAGCAGGATGCCTCCTATTGACAGTTGCAGTAATTTAGCCTAGGGACCTAAATGGCAACATTCCTATCTACCCCTTAGGATCTATAAGGAATCCCACAATCCTTTGTTAAAAATTACATAGGCATACAGTTGGCACAAACCACCATACAGAATTGAACGCAAACACACTACTGCCTCAGATGTAGTGTGTGACACATGCAAATGTACACAGCTTCAAATGTTTCGTCTCTAAAAACTGACAGAGTCAGCCATTCCATACATTGTTTAGATTGTGTTTTTTTTGTTTTTTTTTATTTTTTAGAAGGCTGTAGTCCAAATCAGAAAAACATCATTCAAGTCTATTCATATATAAGCAATCCATAGGAAGCTGTAACAGATTGTCAGAAAGGGTTCCAAGTCTTTTTACTAGACAGTGCAAGGGAAAAATTTAGACCCAGAGTGTACTTGAATCCATCAAAATGCTTAGAAATTTCAAGTGGAAGTGCATCAGTGGATGCCTTGAAAAGTGCTGTTTAAACAGTGCTGGCAGTAAGGAAGAAGGCAGAAAAAGGATGGCGGATGGTTCCTTTTTATAGTTCATTTTGCATAAAGACCTCCTGCGTTTCTATCTGCCGCTTACGAGCTATACACTCCCACAATACTTTGTGTGACAGGAAATATAGGCACAGAATAAGAAAACAAAAATACATTATTTCCTTAAGTGTACGCTGTGTGAAATGTTTACATCTTTATATTTGGGCTTTTATAATAGGGTGACCAAACGTCCATATTTCCCGGGACATATCCGTATTTCACGTCCTGTCCCGGGCGTCCCGGGTTTTTTTTAGAAAGTGAGGAAATGTCCTGATTTCACTGCGCAGGACGCTGCGTGTGACGTAATCCCTGAGCCGCGTCAGTGCGGGCAGCCCTGTGTTCTTAATCAGAGGCTCTGTTCGAAAACCTAGGCTGCATCCTCCAAGGACGCGGTCTACCTAGACTGGATCCTTCGAAGTCCTTGAAAATAAGGAGACCGGAAGAGTTTTGTCTTTAAATTCGAACAGGTCCACCCTTCGGCGGGTTTTACCGCCGTATTCTCTGTTGCTTAGCAACCGTGAAAGTTGACACACAAAGCAGGAAAAGAATGAATACCGAGGTTTTCAAAACTGTTTGTTTATTTATTTATTTTTTTTTTAAGTTAAAGTGAACAAAGACTACACTCACAAGAATCCAGAGTGGAATAAATTTTCCAACCACCGGGAGCAGGAACAAATAAAATCAAATGTAACGATAGAAACCTTAGTCAGTTAAATAACCTTCTGCTGTCATTCTGCACATCTCTGATGTTGCTGCTATTTTCAAATATCCATTACTGTAAAAATGTCCATAGCTGCATATTGGTTATTAATTATCCAGTTTTATATTGTTAAAACACTTTACAGGATTTTATTTTTTATATTTTAACTCTTCCCTATTATGTTATTCTTATACATTTTTCTAAGGTCCTCATTTGTGTGACCATTTTCAATAATCTTTCTGCTGCTGTAAATTTGCCCATTGTGGGACAATAAAGGGATTTTCTATTCTATAAAAGGGTTAGAAATATATAAGTAAATCTAAACAATGTATCTACAAAATATATCTGCAAAATCTCTAATATTCAACAACAAAAAATACTTAGTTAAGCATATTGTGCAAAACAACAATAAAAAAATTAAACTCCTATCAGATTTATAGTCGCCACGCTGCATATCTATTAGAATCTGTCCTTAAATTACAGCCAAATTAATTTACACAGTAACAGATAAAAACCTTTAGATAAATCAAACATTACCGCCACATATCTGACTCAATAACCATTAAAACAACTATTTTCATTCATTTCAGACGGAACTATTCACAGAGTTGTATTATATTAAACTGAACTTCCAATTTTCACCCCTGTTCTGCTCCAAGTAACATTTCCTCTGATCACGGAGCAAATTTGACATTTGTTCTCTCAATCACACCCCCCCCCCCCCCCCCCCCCCACCCCCCCGCTCCAAGGTGTCCTGGTTTTCCCAAATGAAAATATGGTCACCCTAATTTATAATGAAGAGCTTCAGTTGGTCGCTATGTTTGTGGAACTTGCTTCTTTAGCATTCTTTTAGGAATGGCTGTAGTCCTGGTTTTGACTAGTGTTGGGCAAGTTTACCAGAAGATTATAAATATATCAGATAACTAGAACTGGAAATTTTCCTTAATTAATAGGTCATTCAAATCAAGGGTAAAACTAATAAATAATTATCAGTTGAATGATTATAATTGTAATTTGCTTACTGACCAGGGTTTTAGTCTCTTACATAAAAGGCTGGACACCTGATTCCTGCTGTGAGAAATTCAGTTGTCTTTAATCAATTTAGTAATTTAGACTATGGCTATTAGCAAAGTTATTAATCGGAAACCAGATAAATTTGTCTGTTACTTCAGATGCTACTAAAATAATCCAGCCTGAGCTAATCATTTATTAGATAATCATTTATTAGCTACTAATCACACAGTATTATTATTTCTAATAACTATGCAGGCGCAACTAAAAGAGACCATTCAAAGTCTAAGGAAGGTTCGAGTTTAAGGCTTAATACATTGAAAATTTTCTTCAGAATAGCAGCGGATAAATTTGAATAAACCCTGATGCAGAGATGGTAAATGCAGTCAAACAGTGCAGATTTATTTGGTTTTATGGTAAAAAAAATAATAATAATAATTCAGGAATGCATTAAACTGTGATGAGGCTGAAAGTGAATGGGTTAGATTAACTGGCCCCAGGGGTCTGGTCCGAATGGGTCCAACTGTAACACAGAAAAGCTCACGATATAGCCTCTGCAACGTTTTCAGCGTGAGGTAGATGGCATCTAAGGATGCTAGCCAGTCCACTGCGGTAGTTTCTTCAGATCCACGCCACTCGTTCAGCCTGTTAATTTAGCATTAGCATTCAGTTAAGGTCATTAAACTTAATTTTATAACTCACAGCAGCCTGGGACATCTCCCTTAAGCTATTGCAATGAGAGGGTAGCCACAGCCCTCATGTAGAAGCTCCTCGGCGACTCCTTCTTTGTGTCCATCTCAGGCAGGCTCATTCGGCAAACAGCAATTGGACCCCACTGTTGCTCTGGTGGTTAGATTTAGGTTACCAGAGGTGGATTAGCTTTCCTCTACCTCTACTGCCACAGGCGGGTCCAGGAAACACAATTTAACTCGGTTTGAATCACAGGAACAGTTGTCTGGCTCGGTCCGGCAGGCATAAACCTCTCTGGAGGGATGTGGTTGTGACTTAGCGAAGTCTTCAGCTTAGAAGTGCTCAAACTAGCCTAAGGTGGCCGAGGGGCCATCAACAACAGGAAGTTAAATAGGAAGAATTTTGTCTTTTAAAAACTCTGCCGGAGGGGTGTGCCTTCAGAAGGGAGTAGCTCCGGTTGCATCATTGATATTTGATTCCAACACTAGCATCATCCATGTGTGTTTCCATCATGCAAAAATGCCAAGAGAACTAAGGTCTGGATTTGGCACAGCAGTCTGAAATCCCTTTGCTACCCATGACAATGTACTAATTATTGACCAA